TATTTTTTTTTTCCCCTCTTTTCTCCTTAAACCGGTTTCCGGAGCAGCTGCCCGGGTGTGCGGCTGCAGTTGGCATATTTCACGCGTTGGGAGAAAAATTAACTGTTTTTCCTTTGTATCTTAATCCAGTGATGAGAGCTCTCCTTTGTTGGCTTTCGAGCTTGCATTTGTTTTATTTATTATAAGGAAATCCAGTTTGTTTTAAATATATAATCCATTTGAGCACTTAAATCCCCAAACAGCTGGCATTATTTTGTTTTATAATCTTTGGCTTTTCTGCGCAGAGCATATTTCTGAATTCCTACTTGACATTTATGGGGAAAAAAACTTTTTAATGTAAATGGATATCGCAATTTTTTTTTCTGGGTCTTTCCTAATTTACATGCATCATCAATTTTCCTGGATTTCCTATTGTTTTAATCTTTTTTTCCCCCTGTAGCTCGTTAATTAATTTTTTTTTCCCCCAGAAAACTTTGTTTCTGGAGGGAGAAAAAATGTTAATTTGCCCCATTATTTTAATCTCTAGCATTTGGAAATGGTTGAGAGACCACAAAAATGCAACCTGTTGTAGAAACCAGAGTGGTGTGTTCTATTTATTTTAATCGATAGCAGAGAGGTGATTTAGCACTAGGAACTCCATGTAACATTTGAGTAAAGGGTTTGCGGATCTGGTGGCTGTGTATGGGGTGTGCATGTGCTCGCGTACGTGCGTGTTTCTTTGCAGGCTGATTAGCAAGTGGGGTTTACGCTTCTAACCGCCGGTCACTGCTGTTTCCTCCACTTGCTGGGTGTTTTGTGGTGCCTGCTAAATCCAGCTCTGCCATGGCTTCTCCTACTTTTATCCGACTTTCCTCTTAACTAATTCAGCACGGTGCTACAACCTTCGTAAGCAGAGGAACCAAAACTGAGGCAGAGATAACTGATTACAACTTGTTCCTTGGTGAAGAGATTTTTTTTTTTTTTACGGTTCAGAGCTAAAGGTTGTTGATTCAATTTGTCTTGGTTGTGGCATGTTTAGCCCTGTTATTGATAACATACACGATTACACAGGTAATTTCTATACACCTGAAACAGGGTAGCTCTAAAAACCAACAACTATGCATATAGGTAGCCATGAAAAAAATAATGATAAAGAAATCAGACTCTGCTTTCAGTCTGTCGGTCTAACCTTCATACTTGGTAGACAGTTTATGTAGCTTCACAGATTGATCTACACACACCCCCCCACCTCCCTCTGCTCCTTGTTTAGTTAATTCAACAAAGACTTTTTGCAATCTGTTTGGAGTTTGTCTGATGCCATGGAAAAGTAGCTGCTGATTTATTTGGTTGCTTTTCGATTTCTGTCTCTAGCCCGTCTTTTCTCCTCCTTTCAGCGGGGATGTCAGCTGTTATTACTTCCTATTGATCCCTTTGCAAAGTGAGAAGTGAACTAAAATTAATGTCAATTCCACTGCTCGGATCAATAGCTGGAGTTATTTTAATCTGGATTTGCGCGAGGTGCTAAATTAAAAAAAATCAGCATAGAGGCAGAAAAGTAGCAGTTCCTCACTCTGCCTGTGCCCACCGCCTTCCCGGCACCCAAATGTTCCCTCCAGCTGATTACCCAGCAATCCATATTTTTTTAATTAAGAAGGTCGGTTAGTTTTCTTATTTTGGGGTTCTGTATTTAAACCTATGACATTTTGACATTGGGAGTGTATTAACGATAGATTTTCATAATGACTGGTCCGCCGCAGTCTAATCTGTCCACGTTGCTGGGGGTGGGGAGGTGCTGGGCGAGAAGGGAGCAAGAGAGAATGAAAAAGGAATTGGGAGCTGAAAAAAAATTAAATTTGGCTGGCTGAGATATTGTAATGTGTTGATTTATTCCCAGTGTAATGAAGTTTGCAAACGAATAAGCGGTCGTAGTGATTCACAGTATCCTACAGGAGTGTCAAGTGTTGCGGCCAGATTACTAATTTATGAAATACATTTAATGTAATGGGGTGACAGCACGAGTAAAAATAGAAGAGGAGGCAGAGGGGGTGGCTTTTTTTTTCCCTGGAAATCCGTGTTTTCCTATGATTGCTCGGTTTTACTTCCATGTTAATGATTGTTTATTTCTGAGAACGGTGGCTTATTTGCATGCACCTCTTTAGATATATAATCATGTGCGTACATGTATATTTACATGGCTGCATAAGCTCCCAGCAACTCCAAATTTGCCAGTGGCTGCAGCTTCCTGACCTCCAGTTTTCAATCAATCAGCCTCGCGTGCAGCAGCGGAGCGAGCGTGCCCAGGACTGCAGCGCTGACCAGGATGCCCTTGGCATCCCTCGCTCTCCCTCTCCCCGGCGAGAACTCGACGGGAAAGTTATTTAAAATTTGGAAGGGACCAAATCTGTTAATGCGAGATACATAATCTGGTAATTTAGCAATGATGTCTGTAAGGATGGGTGCCAAATGAGGAAGCGGAGAGATGATGTCCACTCGTCTTCACAATTAATAACAGTCACTGGAGCGGCTGGGTACAGGATGGGAGAGAGGAAATGTTATCACTGAACTGCATTAAAGCCACTGACTGGATTTCATACACTTTGTTAACCTAGGCTCCCTCATTCATGGAGTACAAAAGGCACTCCATTAGGGAGACACAAAAAAACTCTTTCACTAAGTTTTATTTGAGATGTTTGACCCTCTGGATTTAAGAGGCACAATTTGTAACAGCTTTTTATTATTATATGATTTTTCTGGCCCTTTGAGCTCCAGCGGCTAGTATATTGTTTCAAAGTTATAGTCCTTGTATTTTAAGCTGGGTTGTGGGGCCTGAATAGCAGGCGGCGGAAGCTTAAAAGAAAAGACATGAGATTGATTGGGGGAGAAAATAACAGCACAAAAAGCCGGAGCGAACTGGGGGAGATACAGAAAGGAGCATTTTCCCTTCTTTCACCCCGGGAGGGGGGGGTGGCTGGGTGGGTGGCTGCAGCCAGCCTAGGAGGCTCAGCAAGATGCAAGGCAGAAATTTTGTTAACATTTTCCTTTAAATGTTAATGGCGCATCCAGGGCAGTTTACAAATCTACTTAAGAGTGAGTGCATTAGGAACTAAAATTACTGATCCATTCTCTCTTGTCCCCGACCCGAAAGGCAGACGCTTACCGAGATCAGATGGCAGAAGCACCCATTATGATTTTAAATATTGTCAGAGACGCCAGGCGTTTTACTGGGGAAGTCTCTTCTCCTTTGGCTAACAGAGACCGTGTGTGCATGTGTGGGTGGTTGTGTATTACGCACACGCACCCATACCCAGTCACATTCCTACATTCCAACAGTGTGCGTGTATATACATACATATATATATATATATATGTATAATGGGATCAAGCACTGTGTGTGCAAGCACTTACTTACCCATGTATACTGTGAGAGTGAGAGAAAATACGTGTCTGTTCTGCATGTCTTGGGCATCGTGTGCAGTGTAACCATGTACGCTGGCGTACGTGGGGGACTGCGCAGCAGATATTTTTCTGTCGGTTCCACACGAACACCCCCCCAAGCAAACAGTGGTGTGTGTGGGGGGGGGCTTTCTCAAGTTTATTGCAATTATATGTACATGCCTCTTTTGCCACATAAAATTCCAATTATAATTTGGAGCTACTATCTTAATTTTAGACCGAACCTTGTTTATTAGTGGGTTATTAAATCTGCATGTTATTAAGTTTGGTTTCCTTTCGTTCGCCTGCACTAGATGATACCCTTTAACCTGGAGGGCCAGAGCTGATTCCACTAGCATGTGAAGTTGTCTATTGATTTTCTTGAATGAGAACAGTGGTGCGTCTCCGGCTGGTGGGTTGTAACACATGTGGCCACCCTGCTGCTGGAGCGTCCCAGGGAGATGAGAGCAGAAACCCAACCAGTTGTGTTTTCTTTTCTGTTTCCTTGCAGCGTTTGGAGGGTGATGATGCTCCAGTAATTTTCCCCGCTCCATTCCCAGGCACCGCTTTGCTTTCCTTCCGGGGAAGATCGTTCCGCTTGTGATCCGGCTGAGGAAAGAGACTCCGATGGACTTACACCGGGCAGCGTTCAAGATGGAGAACTCACCCTACCTCCCCAACCCGCTGGCCTCCCCAGCACTGATGGTTCTCGCCTCCACCGCTGAAGCCAGCCGTGATGCTTCCATTCCCTGCCAGCAGCCGAGGCCTTTTGGGGTCCCCGTGTCAGCAGATAAGGACGTGCATATTCCCTTTACCAACGGCTCATATACTTTTGCCTCCATGTATCACCGGCAAGGCGGGGTGCCGGGAGCGTTTGCAAACCGTGACTTTCCTCCGTCCTTGCTTCACCTCCACCCCCAGTTTGCACCCCCCAACCTGGACTGCACCCCGATCAGTATGTTGAACCACAGTGGCGTTGGGGCTTTCCGTCCCTTTGCATCTACTGAGGACCGGGAGAGCTACCAGTCAGCCTTTACACCGGCCAAGCGCCTGAAAAACTGCCATGACACTGACTCACCCCATCTGCGCTTCTCGGACGCTGATGGGAAGGAGTACGAGTTTGGCACGCAGCTCCCCTCCAGCTCCCCTGGCTCCCTCAAAGTTGACGATACGGGGAAGAAGATCTTTGCTGTTTCTGGCCTCATTTCTGACCGGGAGACCTCATCCAGTCCCGAAGACCGAAGTGACAGATGTAAGTACCTCTGTCGACTTGTTGGTTCTTCTGTAGTGGCGCCTTGTTGAGACACTCAGCAGGTGGTTGTCCCGCAGGGCTGTGGCTCGTGCTAAAGGCAGAGGAAAGCCAGCCTTTCCCGCCTGCCAGGCTCGGCCACGCAGCAGTGCCTTGCCTCTTCTAAATGGGCATGGACAGGTTTTGAGGTGAGGTGCTCTTGAAGGCAGCTTGTCTTCCAGCGCGCCGCTGGAGAGACAAGGCTGACCGTGCAGAATGGTGTCCGTGCCCCAGGTTGAGGCTACAGGTGCTGGTACATATATGTGTGTAAACAGGGAGTCAGCTGGAGCGTGCAGCCAGAAACTTTCCCAGAGCTTGCGGCAAACATATACCCCCTGCTTCTTCAGGTATTTCTTCCTGACCTTATCTTCATGCACACCGTTCTTAGAGCAGAGCCGTCACCTTCAGGACTCACATCTTAGGTTAGGACAAAGGTGCCTTTTCCTTTGGTTGACGCCTTTTCCTTTGGTTGACTTAAGAGTATTTCTGGCCACCGGGCTCCCTTTCTGAGACGTAAACCCAAATCCATTCTTACAATTCAATGAGCTGTTGCACCGTGTGCTTCCTCTGAGTGTTTCCCCGCTTTGGTGCCTGTTGAGTGGTGATGTGCCCCTTTGCAGGTCGGTGGTTGAGCTGAAGGAAACCAACCCACGCACTCATGACTGCGACTCCTGGCTCCCCACCACTTCGTCCCTTGTGGTGTTGCCCACATGGAGGGGCAGAGCTGTCCTCCAGGAGGGGCAGGCGTCTGGCTTTGCTGAGCTGGGAGGTGATCCACCATGGGGAGTGGTCTGGTACCCCAGTGCAGAGCGCTGACTTATGATTGGAGTTTTCCTGTAAGCCCAGACGTGTAGACCAAGGAGTGAGTGCTTTGTTTTTCAAGTGGGCTCCTTTGTTCTGTTGAATTTTCTTCCTAGGAAAGAGTTTTGTTGTTGTTGTTGTTGTTACTGTTATTACTACATTTTTTCGCAAGAAAAACCTGCTGCACCGTTCCTTCCTCTCCTTTTCAGATGTGATTTTTTTCTTCTCCCCTTTATGATGCCGAGGAGAGTAATAGAGACATTGTGGCTCTCTCTCCCCTGTCGGCGCTGCTTCCTCAGGCTGTCTCCTTGAATTAGGCGCTGTGCTAACTTACCGGCGCTAAAAGGCATCTGCCTAAACCCAGCGTACCTTTTCAATAAAAGTCATCATAAAATCAACCTGCCTTGTAAATCCATCGCTCTTGGGTTTTGAAATATGCTGCAAGTGTGTCTTTTATGTCAGCGTTTGCAAGGGCAGGATGATTCCCACCAAAGGCAGAAGCCGTGTATTCCTTGCGCTATGAATGCAGTCTCTTATCTGTCTCCCCCCTCTCCTTCTGATCCACCCCGACCGTGCTACTTTTTGTGCCGTGAGCTCCTTGCATTGTTCAGCATCTCCTCTCCCTCCTTTTGGGTCCGTAGGGGAAGCGGCTGTAGGTGGGAGCGGAGGTGGATGTGTGTGCGTGTAAGCCGGTAATGTAATTATCCTGGGGGGGGGAGGCAGGTGAGATGGTGAGGCATAGAGACATCTTCGTCGATGCTCTCTCCCTTATCGATAGAACCTGGCTGTGGAAATGAAGCTTCCTCGAAAGAATACTCCGGGAGATAACGGCGGCGGAGCGGGTCCGCTAGCTAAATGAATTTAGAGCGCATCAGCTGCTATGGATCGTGCTAGCGAAATCCTGTCAGATATCCCATTTAAAGAAGTAAATCTGTTAAATGAATTAGACCACATGGAGCACAGCTGCGGACGGACAGACGCAGCCACATCCACCACCACACCTTGCCTTGGCCACCAGCGTGTGCCGAACGCGGGTCCTCTCCTTCCTGGGAGCCAACAGGACTTCACACGGGCACGTGCGGGAGGCAGGCTCGGTGACACCCAGCTCCCCGCGGTGACACCCGGCTCCCCGCCCCACCGGCGCTGCGGCAGGGGACTTGTCGGGGAAAGGAAGCAGGACAGAAACTTTGCAGGCAGCTTGGAAAACTTGGGCAGAAGTGGAAGGTGTTTTGTTGTTTTTCTTACTCGTACTGTTAAATTTCTTTAAGATGCTTTGCTGCGCAGTAGAGCTGAGCAAACGCAGCGTCCCCGATATCTCATCGACATTAAAATTCTTCTGTAACTACCAGGACAGCGTACACTAAATATGTCTGCTGGCTCTGTATCATATTCCCATCACATATAGATACTGCACCATGGAAACTTCGCTCCATTAACTCAGTGAGTTTATTTGGTGTGTGCATACGCCCGTATGGGTGTGTTTGCTGGAGGCCGAGAGAGAGAGTGACAGAGCTGTTTGGAGGATCCTAATGATCTTGGATGTTGACCATTAGAAAAGAAAAACTTCCGCAGTGAGGAATTTGAGAGATCACGGTTTGCAGATATAATCGTGATCCTGTGTTGCATTGATATTTGCGTACATATATTCGGAGTTTCCGTATAAATGCATACTTTGGGGGGGGGGTTGTTGTCTCTCACTGTTGGCCCCTGAGAAGTTTTGTGGATTCCTTGTGTAATTGTTGTATGTAACGTGTTGTAAAAACTGCCTGCTTGTGCTCCTGATGGAGAATCTGTCGCAGGTAGGTGGCTGTAGGTTCCAGGCAAAAATGTTGTAAGGCTTTTCTACAGCAGTGAGCAAAAATTGTAAAATTTTCTTAGCTCAGCAACACCTTTACGCGTCTGACGGGTGCTTTTCAGATTTGCAGAGCTCAATGCGTTAGTTGTATTTTTCAGATTCCTGAAAGGGCTTGTGTTACATGGAAGGTGAATGACTGTGATTGCACTGCATCTTCTTCTGTACCACTGTACGAGAACCTTTTTTTAATAGCTCATTAAAATATTTGTTTTACCTGATAGCTTAAATGGTGATTTTCTAAGAAACTTGCCTCTTTTTTTTTTTTAAACAAAAAAAGAAAAAGGAATTTGATGCACTGAATTTTAATTTTCCTGAAAAACAGGTTTACGCTTGAGATGCTTTGCAGCATAACGAGAATCCAAAGTCAGGCATTTTCATCTCAAGGAGTGTTTGGAAATTGCTCTCTTTAGTCCTCTGTATCATGGGTGCAAAGCCTCATCCTCTTTTCACCAGTGGGGGAAATTCGCAGAATTCAGTGAAATTATTTGGGATGTCTGCTGTTGTAACCCAGCGTAGCAGCTGGCCCTGTAGGATATGTATTTGGGCAGCAGAGATTGCTCAATCTTTTGGGTGAACATTTCCTCACTTTTCAAGCAGGGTGTTGCTCGCCAGCGGTACCCATTCCGTGCATCCCATGAAGGGAGAGCATCTCCTTTGGGGTGCATCTGGGGGATTTTTGCTTCCTTGTTACGCAGCAAATTGGGCTGAGATGTCTGCGTTTGGCCAAGTTGTCTCTTGCTGTAAAATGCAGGTCCTCAGGACATCCGGAGCGGTGGAGCGTACGGGGAGCACGTAGAAAAGCAGAGCCTTGCCAGGGAGCAGCAGACGTAATGTGTGCTAGATGGGCCCATTTTCTCAGGTGCTTACTGAGAAAAATAATGCCATTTGTTAGAGTTTAGGGGCTTCTTGTAAAGCATGTGTTAAAGACACTGGGAGACATATTTTATGGATTTCCTTTAAGAAGTGTACAATAGTTGAGATTCCTAAAAGAAGTGGAAATAAATGGCATGTTCCTTTCTGCAAAAGAGATCTATAGCCCTGTTTTAAAATCAGAAAAATAAAAAAAGATCTCTGGTTTTATTCTTTGCTTCTAATAAAATCTGTCCCAGTGGTCTTCTATACCCAGTCACCATGGCATTGCTTTCTTACAAAGTGACAGGCAGAGGTCCGTGCCAGAGCCGGGATCTCTTGGCAAAGATCTGGACCCTGTCAGAGGGGACACCTCTGCCGTCCCTGCGAGGTTGCCTGCGCCCCAGCCTCCCTGGGACCACAGAAGATGGTTTCCCATTGCTGTCTGCTGCTTTGTCTCCATCGTGTGTTGCCTGTGACTTCTTGTGGAGCACAGCCCGATGTGTGAAGGTGATCCTCTACATCCTGGCCACCTGTTCCACTTCCATCCTCTGGCCAGAGCCTGGCTCTCTCAGCCTCAGTTTCCCCACTTCTGCTGGTGGCTCTCGCGCAGCTCCTGGCATGCCCTGGGGATGAGCAATTGAGTTGGTGGGCAGGCTGGGATCCTCACTCATCCCTTGGGACTGCTGGGTGAAGTGGGGATGGTTCTATTAACATTATTTTGATTATTATTTTTTATAATCATATTTAACCTTGGTTATCTGGCCACAGTCGTTTTGTCCTGCAACCGGTTTCTCACCTGCAAGAGAGGTTGTGCACCGTATTAGTGAGCTCTTTGTTCCACTTTAGGATTTTAAACAACATCTCTAGCATGGAGTTAGTCTTCCTTTTGAAACAACTGGCTTGTTATTGATCAAATGTAAATCACACTTCAGGTGATGAACATCAGGGCTGTGATGACCACAGCTGGCATTCCTAAATAACGTCGTGCTTTGGAAATCAGACCAAGGACGGTCTCTACAGTGACCCACCTGCTTAGACATCTGTGTGTTGGGCTATATATTTGCGGCCTGGGACCTATGTAGAGAGCTCTGTGTGTGTACATATGTACGTGTGCTGGGGCAAGAAGGTTTATCTTATCTTCTTCTGTTCTGTGGCAGAACAATGGGTTGGAGGGGCAGTGCACATGTGCACACCTCCACCCGTGCACACAGCCGTCGCTCACGACTCTTCCTGTCGGGATGCACCGCTGCCGAGGCCGATAAAATTTGGGGTCTAACGTGAAGTGACGCTTTGTTGCTAATAATAATCAGCCATGACCACGGGAAATTGGAAGCTTAACATTGCTTATGAAATAATGAAATAATGAAATAAATCGAGTGGAACGTTTGCTTTCCGTTGTGCAGGGCCCTGTGTGATATGGGAGGAGTGAAGGAGCAACAGTGGATTTTCTGACGGG